AGAATTAGCGCAGGTCAAATTGCTCACAAACCTCTGTCAAGGAATATATATGTTTAGCCTAAACGTCAGGCTAGAGGAAAGAAAACCTGATCTCTGTGGTCCTGCTAGAGCCCAGCGTGGGTGATTTCATTAGTTATATCACTCTTTGCTCTTGTGTCTGGATGCTGCATCTTTGCCCCCTTTTTTTCTCCCCCAAGCGATGGGTCTCTAGCAAGATGTCCTGCTGCCACGTTAGGTGCTCCAGGCCTAAATTGTCAAGGTCTGCTGCTTAATTTCCATGAGTGTTTCCAACACTGATGTTGGTACATTTAGTTCTGCCTCGAGGGGTGCCCAGAGATACCTGGACCAGATTTGGAGAGATTCAGGTAGGTAAAGTGGGATGATCCGCTCAAGGTGAGATGGGGCAGTCTGTTAGGGTTGAATTTGATTTTCACTGGTCTCACGTTAACGTTACGCTTGGTGGACTGGGGACAGCAGCCTGTCTGGTGGTCTGGAGGGGACTGGGTGCTGGTGGTGTTAACAGCCCTCTCACTGAGCGATTAACTGCACCGGTAGAAAGAGGAGGCGGGGGGAAGAGGGCTTTTTTTTCCCCTCTAAAAATGTATTCTCATTCTTCCAATGCTTAGGAATCTTTTTTAACCCACTCGAAAGATGTATTCTTCTGCAAAAGGTCTGACTGGAGGGGAAGGTCCCAGATTAATTTTCACCAACAGTAAGCTCTAAGGGGAAGCAAAGCAAGCAGTGCCGTTAAGGGGCTGTGGGATGCTACAGCGCCTGTAACGGGAAGGCTGAGAGGTGTGACAAAGTGGTTTGTTCACAAAGCTGTTGGGTATGGATGGATCTGGCAGGTTTTTCTCAAATCCCAGTTCCCAGACCACCACAACAGCACCGAAACGACCTCATGTCCCTGCAAGGGCTGAGGCTGAGCCCTCCCGTCCGCGCAGGGCTTATGTCAGGGCCAGTTAAGGTGCAGGAGCTGCATCTCCTCCCTTCAATTCCTCGTGGCACTAAGACGCCTCGGTTCTTAGCTGACAAGTGATTTTCCTTTGGGTAATGCAATAGCGCATGGAAGAGCCTATTATTTGCCAGTAGCAAGAGACTCAGCAAGCACTAATTGGACAAATGAGGCTCCAGGGATTTACAAACTAATCAGATGAATATGCAATCGGGGAAAAAAGGCAAACAAGGCTCTGAGCCACCCTGAAGGGCACCTGGGACAATGCTTTGCTCCTGAAAGCGAAGGGGCACGTGCTGTCTTTCCCCAGCTGCAGTGGTGATAGGGACTATTCTGTCCAGAGAGGTCCTTCCTCCCCTGTAAACTATCTCCCGCCTCCGCTTTCACAGGAATATTTCCGATGAGCAGATTTGTTTTACTTTGTGGATGCACAGATCGCACGGTGTGGCAGGTATTTGGAAATATTTCCCAGGCTTTTGGCATCCTTCCCAGCTCACGTTACCCACAGTGACAGGACGCCATCAGTTTGCCGTGTTGGGTGCTGTGTGCCATGGGGAAGACTTTCTAGCTTTTCACCTGTTCC